TTTCAAACCAATATTTTGTAACATATTTATGTATAATAATTTGTCAAAATAATTCCATTAATTTAAAAGATGGATTTAATATGCTTTATCTGTAAAGATATATTTGCTGAACTCGATCAATTTATGGTACATTTGAAGTATGTTCATTCATTAACATYATCAAGTTTTTATCACTGTGGTATATCGCATTGTTCACAAACTTTTTCAACTTATCGTACATTTTCTAAACATATGAAATGTGAAATGTTTAATAATATAAACTCTAATCATAATTTTAAAAATATTAATAATGATTCCTCAACTAAGATTGCAAATAATGCTAACACAAATATAGAAGGGATTTCTTTAATACATGAACCTTGTGTTGACTATTGATGATTGAGATATTGATGCTTTAAATAAATGTGCATTAAAATTTTCTACCCATTACTATGGGAAATTTAATTTCTCCAGAAAAGATGCTATCCAACTTCAACAAAATGTAACAAATATAATAACCATATCCATCGCTCATGAATTAAAGAAATTAATTGTTGACAATAACATTAAACAAAACAATGCACTTAAATCTATTATTAATTTCTGTGAAAATCCATTTGTAGAATTAGACGCTAAGTACAAATTTCTTAAATTTTTGCAAATTAATGATTATTATGAAAAGCCTAAAATTATTAATTTGGATAACACCATAGATGATGTGCGAATAAATAACATTAACACTGTTGATTAAAAAAAAGTCAAAGGAGTTATCTTACCATTAAAATTTCAATTTAGAAAATACTTTGAGGCACCAGGTATTTTAGATTCTTATATCAAAAATCAAGATTTATTGAAAAATGACAATGGATTTACAAATTTCTTTAATAGTCAATTATGGAAAGATGAAATATTGTTGTTCAATGAGGATGGTGTTATTTATATACCCTACTTCTTATATTTTGATGATTTTGTGGTGAACAATCCATTGGGTTCACATTCATCTTCTATTTTAGGTGTTTATTATTCATTTCCCACAGCTCCTGAAGGACTAAAATCAAATTTAAATAATATTTTTGTAGCTGCCTTATTTAACTACAAAGATGTAAAATTGATAGGAAATGACAAATGTTTTTATTTTTTGGTCGATGAAATTAATGAACTACAAAGTCATGGAATAAAATTAACATTAAATGATGGAAAACAATTTAAGATTAAATTTCTGTTAGGTCTAGTTGTTGGAGATAACCTTGGAGTAAATAGTGTTTTGGGATTTGTAAGGTCATTTTCATCAAATTATTTCTGTCGTTTTTGTATTTCTGACAAAAAAAGTACTCAAGTACTTGCCAATGAAAATATTAACTTACTCCGTAACAAACAAAATTATGATGAACATGTTAAGACTAATAATTGTCAAATTACTGGTATATATGAAGAATCTATATTTAATAAAGTATATTACTTATGTTGTTAATAACTATGCAGTGGATATAATGCATGATATTTATGAGGGAATTTGTGTATACGATATGAACCATATCATATGTAATTTAATTAATTTGAGGTTTTTTAGTTTGGAAACATTAAATAGTAGAAAACAAGGATTTAATTATGGTGACACTGAAATTGGAAACATGTCCCCTTCTATAAAGCAAATTAAAATAAATACATTAAAATTCAAAATGTCTTCAAGAGAAATGCAGATATTTATTCATTTTTTTCCTCTTCTAATAGGAGACTTAGTCCCTGAAAATAATCAAATTTGGTTGTTTTTAGTTAATTTTATTGAGATGATTGATTTACTGTTGTTACCAAAATTTAGTAATCAAATTATTTTAAATTTAGAAAAACATATCACGTATCATAATAATAAATAGGTATACTGAGTTATTTCAAGGTTCATTAAAGCCTAAACATCATTTAATTATCCACTATTGTAATATAATAAAAAAKTCAGGGCCCTTAAAATATTTATGGAGTTATAGATTTGAGTCTAAGCATAGACAACTTAAAACATACATCAAAAACATAACTTCAAGAGTTCATATTCCTATTTCGTTAGGTATAAAATATTCCATTAATTTTTCTGATTATATTTTAAATTTAAGCAACAGTTCTTGTATCTCGACAAATTTAGGCTCTCCACTTAGTTCATGTGAATATTTTGAAAAAATTAAAATTTTGTTTTCACCTAATGATTTGACTGCACTTGATCAGGCTCTTTGTTATGACCAAATTGTATACAACAACACAGTGTATAAAATCAATAATATACTTACAGCTTTATTTGACAATACAACATTAGTATATAAATTTAAAAAAAATATATGTCTTGATGAGAAAGTATTGTTTTTATGTAATACTTTAAATGTACTCTCTTATAACAAACATTTTGTTAGTTATGTTGTCTCAAGTATTGATACTGGACTATATGTTTTAAAAAGTATTACAGATTTCATGGGTCCTCCAGTTCATTTATATTATCTTAATAATAAAGACACTGTAATACGTTTAAAACATTACTTTATATAAAAATTTATTTTTATTTATTAAAATACATTATTTTATTT